ATTGAGTCATCAATAGTATTCTTTTCCACAATGTTTAGCCTTGCCTTTTAACAGATAATGCTACTAACAAGGTAATAATACACAAAATCATCCCCAAGTTAATTCTTTTTATACAATTTGTCGTAAACCTTCTCAGAATTTACTACTTCGATGGGGAGAACCAAATAGAGTGTGATTACAAGATAAATTACGAGACTTTGATACTTCCAATTAAATTACCAAATAACTTCGCTTCTGATTATTGCAGAGGAGTTTCTTGAGAAAGTCATCTTGTGCATGTTTCGTCTAAAAACTCTTCTAACAAGACAAAGCACTTTAAAAAAATTATCTAAAAAAAGCTCAAAAGTAACTTCTTAAAACATGCACGAGGTGGCTTATCTTAAAGATAAGCTCCAAACGAGCAGCTTATGTTGGCTTATTTTGACCATATGTGGGTTCACACACACAAAAAATGCATTTAATATTAGAAGAAGTTCTACGTTTTAGGACCCTCGCCAAACTGGCTGTAAATAGGACGAAATAGAGATTATTATCTGTCCAAATGGTACTTCGAGCTTGGAACGAGCATGAAAAAATTAACAATACTTCTTTATCATTTGAGTTGTTCTGCCACATCAGTCGCTCAAGATCTTTGGTCTCTATTCGGATCCAGTGGAAAAAAATGGAATCAATTCTTATGGACTCATTGAGCATGACTCTAATCTAATTCATAGCCTATTAGAAGTAGAATGTGCTTTGTTGGGATTTTCAAGAAAAAGATTGCAATCAATTTGATAATGATCGAGTGACATTACTTCTTCGATTCGAACAAAGGAATCCCATAGATACGATACAAAACGGATTTTGTTGCAAAACGAATTTTGTTCTATCTTTGATTTGAACAGAAATTTCTCTATGAAAAATACGAATCGAAGTTCAAAGAATGGGGAGGGAAAATGAGCTCTTGGCCCGCAACAGATTGAGATTTGTAGCAATACTCTCATTAAATCTCACTGTATAAGAGATTCAGGAAAATGTTGAGATCTCAAAATATGGGTGACTGCTAAGTTATTTTACGAACAATTTTTAATTAAATACGACAAACGAATAAGTTTTTTTACGCTATTTTCGCACGCTTTTTAAACTAAAACCATCGCTAGAGACAAGATACTCCAATTAAATTAAGTAATGATAAGAATGTAATAAGAAAGAAATAATTAGAATCATAAAGCCAATGAGGAATAAAAATTAATGACCTTTTGTACAATTAAAATACGATGAAACAAAAGAAATTTCTAGTAGCAATATAAATAATCAAACTTAAAATATAAGTTTTGTAAGGAATGAAACCCAAAACGGAAGCAGAAATCACAGACCACAAAGCACAATGGAACCAACAACTATTCAGTTCCTAATTCAGATTTAGGGCTCAGAAAGTTCACAAAGATTATTGTACCCGTCTGTACAAAAGGACAAGCCACAAATACCCAGCCCTAATCAAGAATCGCACAAAAGCAGCTACTCAATGGATCTAATCTCTAATGCCTATCTAAACCCGAACAAATCACAATCGAAGGATCACATAGATGCACACTATCTAGACTTGTGATTAAAACCAAGAGTTTTAATCGATTACACAAAGAATCGAAGAAGGCAGTAGAGGGACGAACGAAACAGAGAAGCCCAGAAGAAATTTCTCGCACAAAGCCAACACCGAATGAATTCTCACACAGAGCCAAGACCAACCAACTTCTTTTATAGTCCATCCCAACACCATAGATTAGGCAATAGATCAACGGTCCAGAGCAGCCCACTTGGCAATCCTTTTGGGCCGGGTTTTAGGCTACCTTCCTTTTGAGTTATTGGGCAATAGTTTAGGTAAAACATTTTTATCTTGGGCCAAGCCCTATTTCATCATTGCCCATTGTGTTAGGAAACCAAATGTCACAAATGGCATCAAATCCTAACAAGTTTGACAATAAACAAGAAAAAAAAGGTAAAATGTCAAAATAGAAAAACGTATCCTCGACTAGATCAAGAATTCAACCAAAATCCAGAGACTGAACCAAGTCAAGCAAAATAAAACAAAAATATAAATAGTTTCGACTTAAGCTGAGATGACCTCCACACGGATCCCAATTAATTTTGCACCTAAACCAAACCAGACCTTGACCAGAGAGTGAGACCTGGTTCTTTTCATTTTTTTATTTTTGTCATTTCTCATAAATCATAATATGCCAAGGATTTGGTCAATCTGATTTAGAGGTTTGGAGAAGAAGTCAGTGTGGGATAACTGCGTCAACTCTCGCGGCTGGACTGTCCAAATCATTAATGTTGCAATCTGGACAGAAGCAACTTGCATTTGCATGCACCAACCATTTTTTGGTCATCTCAAAATAATTGATAAAGGGTTGTTTGATAAAGCTTTCAATAAAAAATTTAGTAGATTTTAATAAAATTTTAATAAAGCTTATGTTTGTTCTAACTTCTTTTTCCATTAAGAGAAAAATAAGATCCTTTTTTTCAAAGTTGGTGGATCCCAACAAGACACAAATGGTCAAAAATAGCAAGCAGGGTAACTGTTACAACTGTTCTTTTTCTTCTACTAATGAGCAACAAACAGAGGCGTAACACGTTGTTAGAAATATAATAAAAAATTTTAAAACGTTCTTTTTCTTACGAAATGTTTGATTAAAACTGAAGTTTCATCAGTTAAAAAGTTCAATAAATTTTTTAAGAAAAATTTATCGAACAAGCACTTAATATCAAGTGCCGTCATGTTAATACAGTAAGTCTTCTTTGGTGGGCATTTCTCACTACAATTGTCATGATCGGAAAAAAATGTCATTTTCTCACGTAATTGATTGTATATACATTTGGTTTCTTTTGATGCATAGCTCGTTTTTTGGGGTCAACAATGTCAAAATAGAAAAATGTATCCTCGACTAGATCAAGAATTCAACCAAAATCCAGAGACTGAACCAAGTCAAGCAAAATAAAACAAAAATATAAATAGTTTCGACCTAAGCTGAGATGACCTCCACACGGATTTCAATTAATTTTGCACCTAGACCAAACCAGACCTTGACCAGAGAGTGAGACCTGGTTCTTTTTTTTTTTTTATTATGTCATTTCTCATAAATCATAATATGCCAAGGATTTGGTCAATCTGATTTAGAGTTTGGAGAAGAAGTCAGTGTGGGATAACTGAGTCAACTCTCGCGGCTGGACTGTCCAAATCATTAATGTTGCAATCGGGACAGAAGCAACTTGCATTTGCATGCACCAACCAATTTTTGGTCATCTCAAATTAATTAATAATGGGTTGTTTGATAAAGCTTTCAATAAAAAATTTAGTAGATTTTAATAAAATTTTAATAAAGCTTCTGTTTGTTCTAACTTCTTTTTCCATTAAGAGAAAAATAAGACCCTTTTTTCAAAGTTGGTGGATCCCAACAAGACACAAATGGTCAAAAATAGCAAGCAGGGTAACTGTTACAACGATTCTTTTTCTTCTACTAATGAGCAACAAACAGAGGCGTAACACGTTGTTAGAAATATAATAAAATTTTTTAAAACTTTCTTTTTCTTACGAAATGTTTGATTAAAACTGAAGTTTCATCAGTTAAAAAGTTCAATAAAAAAAATTTATCAAACAAGCACTTAATATCAAGTGCCGTCATGTTAATACAGTAAGTCTTCTTTGGTGGGCATTTCTCACTACAATTGTCATGATCGGAAAAAAAATGTCATTTTCTCACGTAATTGATTGTATATATATTTAAATAGTGTGTGCACTTTATACATTTGGTTTCTTTTGATGCAATAAGAAGTCACAAATATTCGCAAACATCAAATACGTCTAAAAACATGTTAATTTTGAGAATATCCGAAAATTTAAAAAATCAAATAGACAAAAAAACCGTTGTTTCAATGCCAAATGCCTAAACAATTCATAGGAAATCAAATGGGAGTTCAATATATTTTTTCTACAACCAAAAGCAATGTTTTGGATTATTTTTTTAATAATTGTTTAATGACAAAACTAACAAATTTACTAATTACTACAAATATGAACTTATTCAATTAATGTTTGTTCGTGTATTTGACTAATGTGTTTAGAAATTTTAATAGAGAATTAATTTTTTTTTTAAGTGAAATCTTAAAATAAAATATAAAAAATGAATAGTAAAAAATACACCGTTTTGACCAAAGAAAAAAGAACTGACTGCTGATTTGATTTTTTTACACATCCATATATGTAGGAATTGACTTTCTACATGCTCTGAAAACAAAGAAGTTAAGGAAAAAATAAAGAATAAATAAATAAAAGAAAGTTCTATTAAAACTATGATAATTAAAAATGTACAATCCAGAAATAAAAATAAGGCCACGTTTGTCTCTTATTATTCCAAAATACTGTTTGCTACAGTAAGATTTTTCACCACACATTCACCCAATAAAATATTTTACACATAAACCAATAAAATTATTTTAAATTTTAACCATACATTTTCCAAAAAATATTATCCATTACTTCATTTTTTCTACAATAATGGGAGACAAACACCTACTAAAATTATTCTTGAGAAATTAAAATTATTTCTTATCTTTATACTATTTAATCTCATCGACTACTATTTATCGTATTGTAATATGTCAGAACCCAAATATACAAATTTCTTGACAAGTTCAAACATTTATAACACCGCGAAACTAGGAAGCATCAGTATATATGTATGTATGTATACATATATACGCGTATGTATACATATATACGCGTATGTATGTATGTGTATATATAGACACAACTGGCCAAATATTGTACAAGTTCAATTGATTTCTACATTTGCTCCTTTGACCAGTGCTGCAGTTCAAATATTCATCTTGTCATTTCTTGGTTTGCATTAGAAAAGTAAGGCCATTTATCATATTACCACACCAAACCGCCGCCGCCGCCGCCGCTGCCCATCTCCTCCCATTCCAATCGTTGAATAATCACCGGAGCCCAAGTCATCGCCATGGATACAACGGAATTCTCGTCCGGCAGGTCACCTAGGAGGGAGCTCCAACTCCAAGGACCTCGTCCAACACCTCTAAAAGTACGTAAAGATTCCCACAAGATCAGAAAACCACCAGTGGCGCCACCATCGCAGCAGCAGCAGCCTCAAGCGCCACCTCGACCACCGGTCATAATCTACACCGTCTCTCCCAAGATAATCCATGCAAAACCTAATGAATTTATGTCACTGGTTCAACGTCTAACTGGCCCGAATTCAACCTCGACCTCTTGTAGTTCCTCCTCAGTTTTTCAAGAAAATTTCAATCATGGTGCAATATCTCCAGCTGCACGTTTTGCTTCGATAGAAAAAACTAAGTCCCCAGAAGGAAGAAGATTACCACAAGCTTTTAATGACATGGAAATGGTTCAAGGGATAGATATTAGCACAGAAATTGGCAGCAATTTCCGGCAGTTTCAGGGTATTTTATCTCCTAATCCAGCTTCTCTTCCAACTATTCCACAAAAATATTTCTCTCCTTCATCTGATCAGAATCCACCAAACTTTTTATATGATTTAAGCCCAGTTTTACACAATAACAAAAATTATTTAGAGAGCAGTCTAATTCCCAGTCCTTCAACTTTTGTTTCACCCTATATGCCTTCTCCAAATACACTAGACCTTTTCCACAGTTTATTTGACCTTTAACACTATACAAAAAATGCAGGGATTAGTTGTAAAATATACAGTTGTGTTCGTTTTCTGAATCCTTCCTCTTGATGATAAAGAAGGTACACACGGGATCTGTATTCAGGATTGATATCGAAAATCTTCTTTACAATTCAAAATTGAATTGTGGACCTCATGCTTGAAGCATTAGTTTGGCTCAAATTATACGTTTTTTTGTCTCCGTTATAGTCATCATAGTTTAGGATCCTATTTTTTGTCATGTAGCCTCTGGATTGTAATTTGTAAGACAACATTAATATTAATTTGTTTGCTATTTTCTTGTATTTTGTCAGATTGCCATTTATTGGAAATAGACTAATAATTTTTGGATTCTAAAACTATCAAGCAAAAAATAATGTTTCATCCCTTTTCAGGTGGCCTTGCCGATCACAATATGGTACTTTAAATTAGACGGGGATACGGAAGAAGAATACGTCTTACGCAGTATTGTTCACTACAAAGTAACAAATATAATTATCAAGTCTCTTATTTTTTAAATGTAGGATTGAATTAGATTCAAGTATCTCGAGAAGACTGAAATTTTAAGATCTTGTATTTTCATCGCACTTTCATCGCATTTTTGTAATCTCGACTGAATAAAGAAACAAGTTAGCAAAATACTTTGCTTGAACTCTATCTTTGTTGGCCGGCCAATTCTTCTTGATTCACATCTTTGCATTAAGAAATACAAAATGCAAAGCGTATCGACATAGTTTCTCACATTATATAATTTAATTAATCTGTTTAGAAAATCAAGGAATCATACGTGAAATCCGGCTCCTAAGTTTGACAAACACCTTTTGGCCTTTATAAAGTAATCAAACAAATAAGTACTTAATTACGTAGTGATCATTAATTAATTATGTTTAAAGCAACTTCGTTGAAAAAGAAGCTCATAATGGGGTTTGAAATTGATAAATTAAATATAGTTTTAAAAGGGATAGTGCAGTGCAGTAATTATTGAACACAAAAGGTGGATATGGGTAGGGCATAGCTTGAATGGGTAAGATTAAGCTAGATTATTAAATGTTTAAAGCAGTTTTCATTCTACCTAATACACGGAGACGGTGTGAGCATAATATTATCATAAATAAGATTAATAAATAAGATGGTAAATCGATTGCAAAACATGTAGATTATTGCCATGGTTCTCATTGTAAGGTATGAGGTTTGCACCCCACATCTAAATTATGAAATTTCAATTCAGAATTTTCCAACTTATACAGCTCGCTTTTAAAATATAACATATTTAATATCTATAACAATTGTATCAAAACAGGCACCACATCTCCCAAATGCAAGCAAACAGTGCAAATGATGATGTCGACAAAGCAGTTTTCATTTGAAACTAGTCAAAGCCAAACCGACGTAGGTTCCAAGGTTCCAGAGCATGATGATTTGTCATAATTCCCACGTCGAAAGTATGAATTTTCGATGTGAGATTTACACAGCCTTGAACTCTCCAATGTCAACAACTTAAATTTTGATGTATGGCTCTTCTAAGGTCTATAATAATTATTCATCACATTTCAATGAACTAAAAGATTGGCGAAAATTGATTTACTTACTGATCTTCAAATGTATTTAAGTTAAATACAAAAAATGTAAAATTCATTAGAATTGAGTGAAAAAGAATCCAAAGGATAAAGGGCAAGGGGATATAAGTTAGCAACCTGGATTTTAATGACTGGTAGATTGATGTGTTCGATCCAGTCCATTGTAGTGGCTGCTTAGGGTTATTGTCTTGGGGTTTGGGGCTGTTGTGGTCGTTTCTATATTGTACGGACGGGTACAATGTTCTATTTCTGAGCCTAATGAAAAGGAGATGATTCGTTGAGTATATTGTTGATATTCTTGGAGATTTCTTGATTGCTTCCGTTTGATTTCATAGGCTTATTCCTTACAGTTCCAAAGCATGATGATTCGTCATAATTCCCACGTCGAAAGTATGAATTTTCGGTGCGAGATTTACACAGTCTTGAACTCTCCAATGTCAACAACTTAAATTTTGATGTATGGCTCTTCTAAGGTCTATAATAATTATTCATCACATTTATTTATGGATAATGATACAACAATGACCTAAAAGATTGGCGAAAATTGATTTACTTACTGATCTTCAAATGTATTTAAGTTAAATACAAAAAATGTAAAATTCATTAGAATTGAGTGAAAAAGAATCCAAAGGATAAAGGGCAAGGGGGTATAAGTTAGCAACCTGGATTTTAATAAATACAAAAAATGTAAAATTCATTAGAATTGAGTGAAAAAGAATCCAAAGGATAAAGGGCAAGGGGTTATAAGTTAGCAACCTGGATTTTAACCGTGCAGACATTTTTGTTATGCTGGAATATATAAAACATGACAAGATTAAAAATATGAAGCATGGGACAAGGAAATCCAATTGTGTTACTGTTCAGTTCAACATACCAAACATAACAAAAAAAGTCGAGTAGCATCAAAGAACATGCAAAAATAAATCTATAACATATATATCAGCCAGCCCTGTGCTTTACCCTAAGAACTGAAGGGGAGAAAATGTACATGAAATCAAAGGAGGCCCGAGTTTGGCCTAGTGCTACAAAAAAAGCACAAAATGCAACATTCCAATTCCTACCATAAGCGCTTGTTTTATATATAGTACTAGTACTAGATTATACTGGACATCACAATGAACAAGATCTTAATTTATTTTTCTTTCTTAGTAAAGCTGAAGGCCTTGGACCGCACCTGGTTCAACAATCCTGTACTTATGTATGTATTTACCTATTGCATTTCTTCTGCACATGTAATGTCCAAATTCCGGTTTCACGTTCAGTTTAACCAATCTGAACTCACCACATTCGTTCCTTACCCGAACAACATCCAGGTAAACATGCTTGCAATGGGGATCTCAAGAATTTCAATCTGAAGAACAAAATTGTGCACATTTTCAGAACACGAAACTTTGAAAAACACAATTACATCAAAAAGTGCCTGAATCATAACTACCATTGTTGCTCAAAGGACTAAGAGGACTTTGAGCATCCGAATTCTTGGTTTTCACAGTGTTTTTACACCCGCTTACGTCCATATCTTATGAACAATCTGAAAACAAGACGGATTTGTCACCTCTAATTGAACAAGTAAGATGGTTATCCACAACGTGTGAGGACTCCTGTTTTCCTCTAAAGACTCCCCATAGATAATACTTACACTGAAATCTGCAATTTTTTTTCATTATGCAAGCAATTCAATTTCGCTCTAAATTCTAATCAGAAAATTAAAGCAAAGACGGGAAAGAGAAAAAAAGGGCTATTTGCGAATAGAGAACTGGGACTCACTCCAATATTGCGAAGGCAGTTCCAAAGAAGTAAAAACCAAAATGTCAGCATTTGACAGAATGGCTTTCATAGCTAGTTCTTGAGATATCATCTCGTCAACTAGATGATCAAAAATCCGTTTATGGGTGTGTTTGAATTTAATTTTGAGGAGAATAGAAATTTTAGAATAGTGATTGATGTGAGAATATGTGGTGAAAAAGTGATGAAAAGTTTTTGATTTGTGTGTAATATTTTTTTTTTGGAGAATGTGTGGTTGAAATGAAGAATGAGAATGAAAATGAAAATGAGAATGAGAAATTAATGGGTGTCAAACGGGGGCTATATCTGTTCAGGAATTTTTTTTAAAGAAAACTGTCAGAAAGAACCTAAACTTAGAAGGTGAGAAAAGAAGTAAAATAATAATAGCACGTTTGGTACACGGTACAATATATGATAACAAACATTTTTAGCTTCTTGTCCTCCTTTAATCCTCTCGTATGCAAAAATCTAGCATACGTATTTTATACACTTATTTTGACTTAAAAATATAAACATTTAATAGTTCTTTTTAACAATTATAGCATAATTTATTTTGTTTATTATGTGAAACTCAATAAAAAGAAGTGAAATTGAAAGAAGGAAACAAAAATTAGCGAAAAATGGCAAGATCCAAAGTTTGGAGACTAAAGTATAAATACTCGAAAGTTGTGTCGAACCTCACAATGAAGATTCAAGAATGCTATGGGCCAATTAGAAGTCAAAAAATGGGTGAAATATAATCAAATTATTTTCACAAATCAATTTTCAAGTTTCAACTGCACAAACATGTTGGAGTCTATGGGCCAATTAGAAGTCAATAAATGGGTGAATTATAATCAAATTATTTTCACAAATCTATTTTCAACTGCACAAACATGTTGGAGATTTTTAGTTGGAGATTGAGACCATTTTTGACATAGTAAACGTTCAAATTGAAAAAAATTTATCTTAAGAAAAGTTTTACCCTTTTGAGTTTTCTTTCTAAAGCATTTTGAATCGCCTTAATAGAATATCGAAAGAGAAAGTTATATCAAAAATACTGAAAAAGACTTAGAGTGAGAGCAGTATGTGGTGTCGAGGCACCACCAAATAGGTGCCTCGGGAAAAAGATCACATTCGCGGTGTCCGCCATTGCCCCAAATAGGATTTTCAAGTACAACTCATCTTTTTAAAAGCCCAATTCAATTAAAACTCTTAGAAGACTTGAAGAAAATATAAAAACGACTCTAGAAAACATAATTTGAGGGAAGAAAAACACATAATCATCAAAATCAAAAAGAGCAAAAGCTAGGGTTTGAAGATTTTTGAGGTTGAAGAAGATTTTTGGTGTAAGATCTAATTTTTTCTATGATCAAGATTTCAGAATTCAGTTATGAACTCTATACTTTTTGTTTTTCTTTTATTATGATGAGTAGCTAAATTCATAGGTAGGACAAACAATGTAATTTATGTGTGATCATTTATTTCTTTTATTCAATATTCTATTTCTTTACATGCATATGTGTTGATTTTATTCATGAATTTAATTATTTGAATTCTTTGGTCAATTATTCAATGATTTTGTGAATCTATTACGAATCAAGAAGTGAGATGCCAGCACGAAAATGCATAGATATATGAATATATACATTGCACGTATAAAAGTAAATAAAAACTCCAAGAAGGAAAAAATGTGAGGCAACTAGAAGATAGAGCAAGAAAATTACCATGGTGGATGTAAATTCAGACAGGCCCATGGGAGAAAATTTAGGGTATGTTCTCTTTATCATTTTCAAACCGTTTTCTGTTTTCGATTTTCCAAAACAGTGAAAACGCTTTCTCTTTCCTATTTTCGAAAACGCGTTTTTGAAAACAAGTTAAAAATTTACAAAGAAAATCCAAAACGATAAATTTGTCATTTTGAGTGTTTTCAGTTATAGCCAAGCCAAAATTTTCAAAACGTGTTTTGGGTGTTTTCAAAATACCAAAAAGAACACATTTTCAACAAACTCAAAATGAACACTTAAAACACAAAACTCAAAATGAATTCAAAATTCGAAACACAAAGAGAACAGTCCCCTTAAATTTTTTGACATAAAATTCATTATTAAACAACAGAAAATTGGGATAAAGATCAAGCCTTGTAAAATGAATAAGGGAAGGGAGAACTCAAATCATTATTCCTTTTCCTTTTCGGTTGGGGTTTTGGGGTTAAGCGGGATATGTATAATAAATAGTTGAAGGGTTCCAAGGAAGATTCTATGAAATCAAAAAGAATAATAATTACATCTATGCACCCTTGGCATACACCCCGATCGACAACCCTCTCATATGGAGGTGAGGCACACGATTATTTTATAATCCTAAGAAAATGATCTCGGGGCTCTCACCCCTCGTGAGAGGGCTGTCATCCTGAGTCTCTGCATAATACTAATAACTATTGGGCTTTCCTTTCCAGAAACCCTAGTGGGCCATTATCAGTGACATTGAAAACGGAAGCGGAAATTTTGAAAATTTTCTTTCTAAAGTAGAAAACCATTTCAATCCGTACAAATTCGCCAAGAAGACAAAAACCAGATCTTGATGGTGTATTCTGGTGCCCTGATTTAATTCCTTATTTCTAAAATATATTTTTCTCTTTCTTTAACTACACATTTTTCAATAAAATAATATTACACGTAAATTAAAAAAAATTCTTTATTTTTTAATCACACATTTTCCATCAATTTACTATTCAAAAATACATCCTTTGCAAACAACGAGACTCAAACAAGAGCTAAATAATGTGAAATTGTATTTAAATAATTGCTAATGGAGGTAAGTAGATGATCGCCCACAGTAATTACTTGTAACTCCTTTCGAATCACTAACATAATGCTTTCAGCCAATAATATTATGAAGAAAGAATAAAAGATATTGGAACTTAACCGTAAGTAAATTAAAAAAAAATTCAAAAATATATAAAAAAATAAAGTTTTGTTGATGTTACGACCACATTCACTAGCGACAGAAGCACCGTTTACAGTGACGTCATCAATAATCGCCAAAGAAGATGGATAGATGATCACCAATGATATAACTTTAGTAATTTCGTTCGAATCACCAACCTATCGTTTAATATTGATGATATTATGAAAGAAAAAAAAATTGAACTTAACAGTTGATAATTTATAAAAATTAAAAAATACATATAGAAAAAATAATTTTTTTCGATGCTATTGAAATAAGATTGAACTAAAGGGAATCTCGGATGCAATACATTCATAATTTCATTTGAATGTAATCAAGAAGGTCGACTAGAGAAGTCACTGGAGGAATCTATCTGTTCATGAATTAATACAACAAACTATAGTTGCAGCTTACTTGTGATTGAAGGTTTAATCGAATTTGAGCCATATTTCGAATCGTAGGAAACCTAAATAGCGCACTCTTTGGAAGGAGGCAACAATATTTTTAACTTCTTTGTCATGTGCTCCAGCTCCCGCAGTTGGTCCAACTCTCCCGTCTGAACTAAAAACCTCTCCAACATCTGAAACACTAGCTCACTCATGTGACGGCCTCTCTCTAGCATTTGCTTAGAGCACTCAAATGCTTCTTGAACTCTCCCACGGGAACATAACCCTGTAACCAGGAGGTCCAAGGCATGACTGTGTGGACAATGCCCTTTCTTCACCAAGTACCTCCACAAATCCAAACCCAAATCAACTCTTCGGCTCTCACAGAAGAACTTCATTAACATCACAACCGTCCGTGTCATGGGCAAAAAATTCTTCTCAATCATCTTTTGATAGAGTTCAGAGACACCATCAATCCCCTTTGATTTGATTAATCCCAAAAACATAGTATGGTAAGTGACATTATCATGCTCAATGTTTCTCTTTTCCATCTTTTCAAATAAGGCTGCTGCTGAACTCATATCCCTGGATCTGACAACAGAACTCAAAAGGGCATTATAAGCCCCAGAATCTGGCTTTAAACCTCTCGTCGAAATTTCATTGAACAATTGTTTAGCCCTGGAAATATTTCGAGCCATCCCTGCTCCATGAATCAAAGTGGTAATTGTTTCTACTGTAGGGAGGCAATTAACACGTTCCATTTCTTCAAAAAGTCTCATAGCATCACCAAAACATCTATTCTTACAATAAGCATCAATTCTAATATTGTAAGTGACATTGTTAGGCTTAAAACCTCTTCGAAACATCTCATGATAAAACAACTCTATTGCAGTAACATCACCTGATTCCTTGAACCCCAAAAGCAAAATATTCATCGTCTTGGTGTTGGGAGAGAATCGAGAATGCAGCTTGTTGAAGACAGATCTCGCTTCTTTCATCTGCCGCTGTGTGCAAAATGCTCGAAGCAGTACATTGAACTCATCCGTGCCAAATGTACTCCCTGAAAATATCTCTGTCTCCATCTTCCCAAATGCTTCCAGAGTGTCTTCATAGGAATGGAATTTAGCAATTTTCGATAACATGATGCTCATTGACTTCAGAGTGAGCAAGGAACGGTGAGTCTGCTTGATTATTTCCATTAATTCCCAGGCTTTGTCAAAGTATCGCATTCGTGTCAGTATGTGGAGAGTCTTCTCAAAAGCATCTGAACTTGGAACGTACTGGTTACTGAGAAGGGAATATTGGAAGAACTCATACGCTTTGAGGCCGTTTGAGTGCGCAGCAAACAATCTACCAAGAACATTTTCCACAAAAGGGGTCGACAATGCAGTCGGTGGAATCTGAGAGCGAAGAGTGGGATGCAATGGCTTTTCAGGAAATGGATGGTCGTTGATTATTCTCGTAATTCTTTCAATTTCAGTCTCTGAGGAAGAATGAAGCTGGAGTATGTTCAGCTTCTGATCCACGTGCAAAATCCGATCGAATTTTATACTTCTGTTTCTAAGAAGCATGATGTCTTTGATTCAAATCAAGAACTCCCAAACTCCCATATAGTAATATCCTGTTTCATTAAACACACATCAAAGATGTAGTTGAGTAATGGGCTTCATATAAAGGAAAATAAGAATATACCTTATTATTAAATGCAACAAGTTCCCAAAACTAAAGTGCATGTCAACTTGGCTTGTATACATGAAATTCCAGATTAACAAAGAATGACATAATATTGACTTATAAGCAGGGATTTAACAAAATTTCGTCTGTTTACTCTGTTCAGCATTTCCTCAAATACATAACGTGCAACTTTCTAAGCATTGATGAAAACGAAATTCTTTTGAGTGAGATGAAACGAGCATAAACTTCAACAACCCAGGGCAAGAAAAATAGACAGGAAAGGGAAATGAACAAATAAAATTAAAGGGCGGGAAGCTGCAAAACCATTGCTGAAAATTTTTTTGCCTTCAATGCAAACTAATTAACAAAATTCAAGAACTGTCGTGTACATTTCAACTTTCTTAAAGAGCAAGGGATTCTGATTATGTGAAGTACCTGCATACGAATGTCACGAGATATACTCTGAATACGTTGATTAAACAGATTTTGGATAGATAATTAGTAATTTTATTCAAATTCATGGATGCAAATGAATGGCATGATAATCAATAAATAATGATGACAGTTGATCGGTTGTTGCACGGTGGTGGGTATTAAAGTCAGATTTTTTAGTAATGTTGATAAATGTTGATGAAATGTCTGATTGAAAAATTATTGATTTTATAAAATATGTAATTAAAAATTATTTTTTGAAATTAATTATTGATTTCAACTTAAATTAAAATATTGATTTTAATCTTACCAAATAGGGGCTAAATAAATAACGGTGATAATTTATTTATTGTTACGTCGTTGATTTCTAAAGTTAAAGAACTTATGGATAAGTTTGACCAAATAATAAGACCAATGAGAATTATCACATAATCCAATGCCAAAACTGGCTGGTTATATATTTAAAAAATTAAACTAATTGTACACACAAAATGTATACTTTGATTGAAACTCTCTTGCGTGTCAAAATTTGGCAGTTGATTGAAAAATGTGTTGTCAAGATCAATGTGCCAAAATCTGCCGTCTAACACGAGTGTAAACCATTGTATCAAATTTTATGTACATGTAGCATCGTCTATACTAGAATATGCATAAATACCAGAAAGAGAAACAAAATCAGATTGAAGATTAACATAGTACTCTGGTCGGCAAACAAAAGATCATTGTCACACAATATGTAACCTTGTTTATCATTTGTCCCCAAACATTACCAATATCTGATCTTCCACAGGTCCAACAAGCAAAAGCAAAGAAGCATACACAAGGACAAAATTTGCTAAGTGAACTTTAAGAAATATGAAGAACGAGGAAGCCAGCTTCCACAAATATAGAACAACGAAAGGCTGTCACTTGTCTGACTCTATTCGATCAGTCGCCTTAGAACATGCTGCCGGGGTAGGTTGACATAAAAGTTAAGAAATGGTGTTATATTTATCTGATATAAGTATTCGCTTGTTGAAATAAATTCCACGAAACACGCCTTACACTTGATCAAATCAACCAGAGCAACAGGCCGAGTTAGTTATGTAGATAATGCTAGTAGCACTCATATTGGTTTTCATGTTTTCAGCCTTGTTGCTCCGAATATGGGGTTCTCCAAATGCAATGGAAAGAAATCCGGGCAGTTTAGGATGGCCTATTGTGGGAGAAAGTTTTTCGTTCCTCTCTGAGTTCTCGATTCCTGCAGGCATATTCAGTTTCATGTACAAGAGACAACAAAAGTACAGATCGAAACCAAATCATTCAATTAATATCTGTAACTTGGAAATTAAATTACCTTGGTCTCAAAATTTGTCATTTGTGTTAGGTACGGTTCATGACTGGGAGAGAAGCTAGCAAGATATTGTTAAAAGGCAAAGACGGGCTAGTGAGCTTGAATCTCTTTCACAGGAAAGCAGGTCCTTGGGACGACAAGCTTGCTTCAACAGACGGGAGAAGCTCAGAAAAGACTTCGCCGACTGATTGCAGACCCCCTTTCAGTCGATGGCCTAAAGCAGTATTTCGTGGGTCGTGGCAATAGAGATGTCGGATCAATGGAGTGGACGTAGTCTTGGTTCTTGAAGAGGCTTCCACGGTTGATTTTCAAAACCTGGACCAAAGAAAATATATTAGATAGCTGTAAGTTTTCGTTATAGCAATTTCTCAACATCTAAAAACTTTTACAGTTCACACTGAAGGTGATAGGCAACATGATAATGAGTTTAGAGCCAGATGGTGAGGAGCAGGAGAAGTTCCGAGAACATCATGATATTCTATGTAACAGAGAGAATGGATCAAGTGTTACCTGGTCGGAAGTTAACAATATGCCATACACCAACAAAGTTATCTGCATCCTTATCACTGACTATTTTATCATTTTATGAAATTTTTTAAGTTTATCAGCTGAATTATCTGGCGCTTAATCTAATAGGTGATCAATGAAACTCTTCGAGGAGCCACAATCCTACCTTGGTTTTCAAGAAAAGCAGCACAGGACTTCGATATTGATGGTAAAGTTCTTGCCAACTGGACGTCCTACACGAATATTCAAAACTATTGTGGTATTAAACTAAATTCTTATGAACTTTTAGGGTATAAAATTCAAAAAGGTTGGTCTGTTAACTTGGATGTTGTGTCTATCCACCACGATCCGGAGATTTTTCCTAATCCACAGAAGTTTGATCCATCCAGATTTTCTGTAAGCTTCTCCATGAAACATGAAGAAGGATAGTTCTTTCACCCTTCTCTTTGCATAATAAGAAATGGTTCTTGAATATTTCAGGATCCCATAAAACCTTTCAGCTTCCTTTGGAAGTGGACCACGCATGTGTCCTGGAATCAACCTGGCCAAGCTGGAAATTTGTGTTTTCATCCATTACTTGATCTGCAGATACAAGTAAGACTAAATAAGGAATTAAAAACAAGTTTGATACAATATATTCGAAAGAATTGGATAGTACAATATAAAGATTTTAGCTTCTTATTTATTTATTTATTTGGTTAATATTGTACTATACCGTCCACCTTACCAAATAAGAGGCTCAAAAAACATAATGCAGGAAACTCAAATGCAGAGAAACGAATAAAAAGGAAACACATCTTCAGCTGCTCATAGAGTTCCTCTCTGAGTGTGTTTGCTTTTCTATGAATGAATCTGCGAATTTCTTTTCGTCTAGATCACTCCTTGTAGAGTTCCTCTTTAAGGCGTGAAGTATTCTAAATTGCCAGGCTCTATTATTGTAATTTCTCTATTTTCAGTTTGCATCGGTGTTTCTCCATTGCAGGTGGAAGCCACTAGAGAGAGATGATTCTGTCCAGCCAACATTAGTCAGGATGCCAAAGAACAAGTAACCTATCATAGTCGACCCTCTTTAAAACAGTCCTGCATACAAGGACCAAAGCACTTTGCACATATCAGGGAATGAAAAACACGTTCATAATTATTAGCAATAATATATTGAGGGATCTTATTTCCTTATTCTCCAATTGTAAATATTCTCCATTCCTATTTTAGCTTAGGTTTTCTTTTCACGTGTAATATAAAACCATGATGTATCTTCATTCAAACTCAATGAGAATTACTTCATTCAATACCAAAATCTAACAATAATCAGGACAGAAGGAAAAAGTATATGAAGTAAACATTCATAACCCCGTGATATAATTGATCCATTACTTGAAAATAATGTTCAACTCCTGAATAAATGAAGAACTGTTAGTGAGAAATTTCATTCGAGTACCAAATCCCATTTTTTCTAATATCTTTAGCACACACTGGCAAATCATCCTCTTAGGCAGGATTCTACAGTAACTTGTTAGTTTTTTTCCTTTCTAGTTTCAACTGGAGGTTACTTCACATCAAGGAACTAAAATTTGAAAGCATGATATCAACTTGCAATATATCAAAAATAACTTCATAATGGGACTTTAGTAGGGGCGCGCGCGGATGATGAGCTAGGGCTGCACTGTCTTGAAAATGAGAACCTAATTTTGGTAACGTAAAGAAGAATGAAAAATTCATCAGTCAATGCATGTTGTCAAACAAAATTTCAATAAAAATTCCCCGTGTTTACTAAAGATCAAAAGTGTAAATTCGGTGTTCTCAGAAACCATAAAGAATCTAATGCCTACTAAAGCAGGAAATTGAGCAACATTTCTGCCCATTAAGAATCACAAGTTTTATAGAGTCGAATGATCTTAAACACTTCTGCCCATTAAGAATCAAATAGGTATAGACAGAGTGGGTAAGGAAAATCATCAAGCAATTTGCACGCACTGCCTGGGTATGGTTACTCTTCAAACAAAAGAAAGGATCAACGGCCTGAATTGTAGATTAGCAGTGCATCTGATTTTCATTTTGACATTGCCGAATTCCTCTAGAAATACCATCAGCACAAGATCTTTGAATATATGCACAAAACTGAAGTAATATCATACCTAGTGCCAATACAACCTTCCGCCAAATCTAATAATAGAATGCACAAAGGAGCAATAAAAACTAGAAATAAGTTTTCATCTGGTTTTTCATAAAACATAAAAGTTCTGCTACAGACCAACAACAGAGGGACTCAAAGATCCACAAGCTAACAACAAATTACTTATGAAGTGCACAGCAACAGTTGTCCGTCCCAACATCTTCTACAAGACAAGGAGGCTGAACTTCCTCATCTTTATACCAGATTGATCGTTCTTGAACCAATTCGTTCAAAAAGTAATCCAGCTTCTCAATGGTGACATTCGGCATCACAACAATATGTGCCATATTTCCCTCACAAGCAAGCTGCCAACGTCGAACAAACTCCTCATCGCAAGGTCTCTCAAACACAACTGTACTGCTCAGTTCATTGAGCATGGCACTAATTCCTGCTTCCATAAGACGACCTTTCAAATAGTGAGCATTCCTAAGGCACTTTTGGACTTCCTTTTGGAATCCCTTGTACCCTTTCCTGTTCAGGGTATACCATAAGAAGATTGGAGCATGGCCATTTCGACTTCCCATAATTGTTGCATCCCTTGAAGCAAGGTACTCAACATTGCTCGAAAGTGCATTTATGTGTTGTAGCCTTGTTATCTGCACACCACATGGCATCGGACATCCCACAAACTTATGGCCAGAAACACTCACACTTCCAATGGGCTTCTTGAAACTTACCTTCGGTGCCTGCATAGAACAAAGACTGCTTAGGAAAAGAAGAAAGTGATAAAGCATAATTCTAACTAATTTTAATAAAACCTTATAATCAATTAATGACAAGATTATTTTTTGGGGTAGATAAGGTTCAAAGGTAAAGGCTATAGCAAACAGATAACAATAAAACTGCAGTTTCATATTCTATCAGCAGGACCAGAAGTCGGTCTATAGCCTATCTCTGCAGTCCTTACCAACCTTAGACAAGAAAGGAGTCATTTCCAAAAATCTTGAAATGACCTCAAATAAAGTGTTGAGGATCTATAGAGCAGTAATATTTACTACATACATTGCCAACCAATCAGATCCCAAAACCACATGCTTCCGCTGGATCATCTTCTTGAACATTCAAAGAATAATGACAACAAAATCTTAAATCTATGGTGTATCACTCCAGAAATTGTTTTTATTTATGTATAGTTCATTCGCACACTCATTCCACTATATCCATCTATTAGGGCAGACTCTCATAAACACCTCATGTACAAGTACATGAACAAAAAGCGAAAATTAAACTTGTGATTTGAATTATGAAAGGTATACACTAAGAAAAACAAAAATGATTTGAATTCAAACAAAATTTGCTTACCCTTTTGACAAATGGCATCATCAGACCAAATAGAGCGCCATCACAGTGGATGTAGAATCTATCATGGGAGAATCCACATTCTTCAAGAGTTTGTATGACAAGATCTAGATCATCAACAGCCCCTTTAACTGTAGTTCCTGCAATTTGTGAAAATTTGACCAAATTTAGAATACGATACTTGTCTTAACATACTTGCGGATCTAGCAGCACACAATCACATGCATAATAGAGAGCAAGTGCACACATGCGGGAGTGAAAGAGAGTTACCTATGTTGACATTGATGATTGCTGGTTTATCTTTGTTGGTAAGCAGCTTAGTTTTAAAATCTGTGCAGTCTATCTCTCCTGTGACCAAAGTTGCAACTTTTACACATTCCATTCTATACATTCTTGCTGCTTTGAAGACAGAGTAATGTGATTCTTTCGATGCATACAAAATTCCATCTGGATGCACTTCTCTTCTGTAAAATTGAATTGTGAATTATGATAACTGTTAGAACAATCCTCTAATAGATCAAAGAAGCCTCTATGACTGAAATTAGAGACTCGTAGAAAGACACATAATACATACCCAACAAGGATGCCATGAAGATTACCCTCAGTACCACAGTTTGTAATATATCCCCAGTAATCATCCTTTTCAATTTCCCAAAGACGGGCAAACCAATCTAGAACCCCCACTTCAAACTGTCTTGAGTGTACACCATAGTTGCTTTCAATGAATGGATCGCCGAGGTTGTTAATAGAGAAATGCTGCAACTGTGCAAGCGCACCATAATCAAAGTCCAAATTGTATGGATATCCTGGGAAACAAAATAAAACATTGAGAATTATTCGATCCATAAAACACGTGAGGTGAATACACAAGCTTCATTATAAGCTTCTCCAACTGGTTACTTAAAAAAAATTAATATGTATGGTACAGTTAGCTCATCAATCCAACAATTAATAACAAAAGATAAAAACATGCAAATCTAATCTAATCTTTAGAAAAATGAAACAGAGCGGCACTTACAAGTAACTTAATGACCTTAAAACTCACTCATGTAATTTTCATGCAAGAAGTCAATATGGACAAAAAGGATAGGGAAGTAACTCCAATTAACAACATATATGAGACAAATTAAGCAGCTTTCCAATTCAGAAGCATAAAAGACAAAATTTAATAGACTTTTATCCTCAAATATCTCACAGTTACCACTGACTCAAGCCTCTCAATTTTGTAATTTAGCAGAACTGAAGAGACTCACAGACTAGGGAAAATAACAGCAAAGGTTATTGAACATAACTCAGGTTAACCACTCCCATATTTCATCATCACATTCGTCATCTGAATTTGAAGTAGTTCTTTAATAATCTATCTAATTATGTACATGGTAATTTATATTCCATCTTATGTCGATGTTGATACTTTAATCACTTGTCAATAGAAAAGACTAGGGGAATTTGGATATTTATCTCAATTTGTTACTCATTGGGTCTCATGTAGAGCCTATGTCAACTAGCGTCTAGAGGAAGAAGGACCCTCAGCCTCAGGTGGCTTTCTCTACTCCCTCAATCTTCACTTTACGCCACGTTTGTCGTCAGTGAGAGTGCTTTTTACTACAAATGCTAGGGGTCATTCTTCTGTTGGTATGTTTATGCACCTTAGTTGTCTCAAAGTTAGTTGCTTGTCATGAGTAGCTTGGGGAGTCTTAAGGGGCTTTGGAAAGAAAGTGCTTATTTACGGTACTATGATGAGTGAGCTTGCTCGCATTTATTGATTGCATATTGTTTTGCTGTTCACATACCACCATACTAAAAGTATACCAATTTCCGCCATGTGCGTTCTGGAAACACGTCTTCCCATTACATCTTTTCTCGAATTTTCATTTCACAAGGGAAGTGATCTAACTGACTAACTTTAATCCAGGCATTTCTCGTCATCATAGAAGATATTCTCTAAATCAAGAACAAAATTCAGAATTTGTAAAAACCCACTCGTTTCAGAAGTACTTTTATGTCTCTTCTATCATATAATAATAATAAGCCAGGGAGCAAACTAATCAAAACGGTAAAACAAAATTGAGAAAATGACCATCCCCTAATAAAGCTTGATCCCCACAGTCACTTACATTTCAATATTAACCTTAAAAAAACTCAAATCACAAATGAATACTTTTCGTTTCCTCCTACTTATAGCGGTATGCATGTATCAGTCAAATCATATATGAAAATATCATATTGCGTTAGTTTTTCGCAGAGTGCAAGTAGCATGGAGCATATAATAAAATGATAAAATTAAAGTCTCACAAATCAAACACCAACACACTCCCGCACGCTAACCTAGATGGTGCCTGGTGCGTTCTATGAGAGTTTTCCGGTAGCGAGCTAGGACGCTGGCCATGTGAGCCTCCTTATCACCCGTGGACTCATCATCCGCATCGGGCTCCGTCACCGCCAGGCAAGTGGTGTGCACGTTCCTGCCCAACACTATTTCCTTCTCTTTAACCTCAAGATCCGGCTCCTCAACCACCGTTAAATCGAATAAATTCTCTTCCGCCGCCAATGTCATCATCTCCGGCATAGCAACAGATTTCCCGTTAACCGATTGGACCTCGAAACTACTCCCAACCATCACTCTAGCAGCTTGAATTCAAACAAAAAGCAAAAACTAACATTTTGAATCAATAGAATAAGGACTAAATTATATATTCAAAAATGGCTAAAAAGTGATTATTTATACTACCTATAAATATACAGATGTACCGGAAATGCGCAAGAGACGGTCGAAAGAGAAGCAAGAAACTAGAGGAGTTGTGGAGGAAATAGCAGATCCGATTGTTGTGAATATATGGATGGGTGTTGCGCTATAGAGTGTTGTACCTTTATTGGTGGGGGCAAGGAATTGCGCGTAAACTTCTTGATCGGTCGCATACGTGTTCTTGAATAACTGGGCCAATGACAGTTCTCCACGTAACATGATTAGAGAAATGATATTTGTAGGCAAGGGCTACCAAATTGTGTCCCTCCCCTCACATAATACGCGGGCCCCGCGTGCATTAAAAAATGACGAGTTGAGGCCCCACCCCCGATGTGAGAAGGGGGACACCATTCGGTAATCCCCTGGGTAAGCCATGTTTGATCTCTTTTATTTTAAAACTCTTTTTTCTATGTCACATTGAAAAAATTTGAAATATATAAATGAAAATTTGAAAAAATTTGTGAATCAAATAAAATATATGGTCGAAAATGAGTTATCACCATTTTCAATAAATCAAACAATGTTACGAAGTGTAGATTTGTGGTTGCTAGATGTGATGATAAGGGCGAAGGTAAACGACTTCAGCTGAGGGATGATCGAGGGAGCTAAGAGTGTAACTTGGTCAAGTTGAGAGAACTAGATTGAGACGAGTAGTTCAATTTAAAATACGAATATAATTATTGATTTATCAAGTAATTTTCTTTCTAATGAGAAATCCCACCACATTGAAGTTCGAACACCAAATTTTAAGAAATTTAACAAAAAAAAAATTTAAATATTGAGTCAAAACAAAATGCATGTTAATTTCATTTTTTTTTAATTTAAACAAAAGATGCGTTACATATATATGCATTGATTTTATAAATAAATAATCGGTCTAAAATCCTATAAATGTAGGAAGATAAAGTTAATTTCAAATTTCTACTCTGAATAATTTATTGATAATTGGATAAATAAATAATTGAAAGCACGTGCGCGGCACACATTCCAGTGCCTGAATAATGTCCAATTCAACTTCTAGTGGGCCACGACCCACGAGCAGAATCACGAGGGTATACTATTTTGTCTGTGCCCCCCCCCAAAAATATCTATTTTTTAAAGAGAAAATTTCATTTTATAATCACCTCACCAAACTTTGAACAAAATATGAATTGACTCACTAAAGTTTAGTGCATATTTGGGTATAATCTCTTTGAATTATAAATAGATAAATTGATGATGATGATGATGATAATAATAATAATAATAATATATTATTATTATTATTACTATATATTAGTTTGACTAATTATAAACTATGTCAAGTAAGATTTAATTTGTCTCGATTAGATCACTGAATTTCAGTTTAATTTCAAATTCTGTTACTTTGTCACATTTTATCACTTTTCGTCCCAAAAACTATGAATATTGCTTAGTTAACTGTCAAAACATAACTAATCTTCCACATAGTCGTTGTTTGGCACCTTATAAACAAATACAGGTAGAATGATTGGTTAAAAAATATGATTATTTTATTTTTTTTACATTTTCATGGTGTGTGTAGTAATAAATTATATCACACAGCAATTATGTGAAAAATATGTTACGGTATTACTGTCGATCAAATTGTTTTCATCAATTTGGATGACAAACGTTAACATTTCAAAGTACATTGAAGTTGTATAATCCAACTAAAAATATGATTATGTTTGAATTTGATGTGTAGAAAAATCAAACAACAGATATCATATTCCTTTGTGATTGATATTTAAATGGTGGCAGGAAGTAATATGAAGTGCTCATATTTAAAAATATAGGGTAACAAATAGTTATGCTATAAACCATTCTACAACACTTAAAAAAGGGAAAAATATGTGGCATAAAATAAAGAAAGATATCGTGTAACTATTTGTAACGACCCAAGTCTCTATACCCAATCCGTTATCTTACATACTGTCCGNTACCAGGATTCAACTTAAGTCTCTCATATGATGGAGGTCTTGGGTTCGAATCTTAGGGGACGCGTCAGAAATCCGTGAGGGGATAAGTGGGCAGAAGCCCACCCCAGATCGGACAGTACGTAAGATAACGATTCCGGCGCGAGGTCGGGTCGTTACACTATTTGTCGGTTTCGTTAATGTCTAAACCATGTTTACGCTTTCAGCCATGACTTAGAAGAAGTAGAGGATACTTACATGTCCTTCTATTGTTCCCTTTCCCGCCACATCGTCTGTATCTTGATGGGTGAATGCTCTTTGTCCTTGTTCATATCCTCGTATTCTTAAGCTTCCCAGGATGCCTCTTTGGCTTTGATGGATATATTTTGTCAAGGAATATGGTCTTAATATGTTTCTAACATTCACGGTCCCCGAGTGGAATGATGCTATGTTTACATAAGATTCCTTTGTATAGTAATGAGAGCAATATTTGTAAGGATGTTCTTCCTTCGACCTGATAACAACTAACGCATGTGGACGTAGAACGTGTCAATTTGAAACTGGTTGCAAGTGCAAGTGTACTCCCTCAAGTCAGCTACATGCTTCGCATTCTCGTTCGAAACTTCATACAAGAAACCAATAGACAGAGAGACCTATTTTCGTTGTAATGGAAAAGGTTAACATTTTACCAAAATCATTGTGTGATACATATACTTCCCATATCTAATGTAGAAGTTTTCTATATTGACTTGCATGTTCTACACATAGTGATGAAATGAATATCTCACACCAAGGGTGTTCAAGTTTTTGTTGACATAGGTTCCCATCGTCGGTGAATTTTAAAGTGACATGCATATAATTCATAATGTATGCAGACTCATCTGTTAAAAACAAACAAGATACCAGAATCACTATGATACCACTTTGTTGAGAATCCGGCCAAGTAATTAAAGACGAGAAAATAAAGGCAATATAAATATAATGAATCACAATGAAAACCAGATTTACATGAAAACCCAAATCTGGGAAAACCACATTAAAGGCAGAGAATTTACTATAATCAATAGTAAGGGGTTACAAAGAATCTCTTTGGACCAATAACTAATAGGTTAATTTCAATATGTATTGTGCACCACATATTTATAACAAAAAAATCTCTAATATACTAGGAGAATTAATACATAGAGAGTTTAATATAAGGTGAAATATCAATACAGCGGGTAAAACCAATAATAGAGTATTTGGAATGAAATAACAATCAAAATCACCTTGGACTCCTTCAATTCAAGTTTACTACCAACTTTCAATATTCCTCCAACAGTATTTCTAATCAAATACTCAATGAGAATTCGGGTTACAACCAAATTCTAACAAACTCCGCTTTGACGCGAATTTCATTACAAAGAATAAAACTTAACTCTTCAACTCCAACAAAATTCTCCAAACAAAACACTCCACCAAATTACTCCATCTCTTCCACCATGCCACTCCGGGCATACTCAGCAACTGTGGACAAATTTCAAATCCTGCTTACCACTAGAATTACCTTGCGCGCAAAACCTGTTTGAATAATCTCGCTCATTACCGATCCAAATGAGTCACCAAACCTGCTCCAATCACTACGAGTAACATGATCAACAAGATCACAACTAGTTCCACCAAAGCTGCAGGAAGATTCTCCAATATTATTATTCAAATCACCCCCAACAACCCGATCACAATTAACTCTACCTGAGTTATTGCCTATTGAACCATAAGCTGCAGCTGTATCCAAAGTGATTGTCGAACCTTCCATGATATATAATTGATCCTCACATTGCTTCTTCTCCAACATTCAAACAAAAAATCTGCCATAACAAAAAATTCGATTGCGATCCAAAAGCGGAATCTCAAATTTTGTAGTTGCCATCCCATAAAGATCTTGTTCAAGTCTCACCCTAATAACTAATTTGGACCTCCCAAGAACCTCCAAAAAAACATTCAACTCTGATACCACTTCGTTAGAAACAAACAAGATACAAGAATTACTTTGATACCACTTTGTATGAATTTTTTACATATATAATTAAATAAAGAATTTGAAATTGATAATTACTAAAATAAAATATTTTTTTTTAACGAATTAG